AATTTGACTCGGTTCAATGCTGAACCACAACGTTTGTGGGTTGGCACACAAGAGACTAGGTTATGAGAAGCCATAGTCTTGGCGGCGATGGGAGCTAGTGGACTGACAGTAGTTTTTATAAGAGACGTGGTCCATGTGGCAAAGGCCTGAACCATGAGACTTACTTGCAACCTTGAGCCTCGAATTAGTCACCCAGACGCAGGGTAGGGCTAATAACTCCTCAAGTTGGCACAGATGGGGTGGCAGGAGCGGCGGCGATGGGAGCTAGTGGACTGACAGTAGTTTTTATAAGAGACGTGGTTTGATCCAAACCTCATAGGAATCTAGCAGCTAAAAATATTCACTCTGTCATTGCAAGCAAATTCATTATCAGTCTTTTATAACTTCAAGCCACCTTAATTTATTACATTCTTATTCAAGATATATTGATGGTCTAAAGAACCTATTAATTACGAATATAAGTATTTATTAGATTGTGGTGACAAATACAAGTTTGCTTCGACAATTCAACTATAATATGTGGCATCGGAGTAGCCTGGTTTGCTTTTAAAGGCGCATCTGCCTTATGATTGGCGTAATGGTAACGTTTCGAAAAATATGCGCTGCACTATCCTGGTTTGATTATCATTTAGGGTGCTAACTCAGACGAGGTCACATTCGTTCCACTTTGAATATAACCTTTGTAGAAACAAGACCAAGTGAACTACAATGGCATTGTGAAGCCTGTTCATGATTGTGGTATAATTTACTATCAGTCAATCACCTTAAGCCACATAGGATGACATTTCCTATTCAAGAATTGCTGATATTATTGAAAGCTACTTATATCGAAAGTGAACCAGAGGTCGTCCGGGGCTAAAAGACCAAGCCAGATCAATATCGTCGACACACGGGATGGGGTAGAGCAAATGAACGGGGAGTATGATTAGGCCTCATTAAATTCGTTCAAAACGGTGTACCTCTTATGTGGATCAAAATAAACAATTTAGTAGTGATAGTAATTTGGAAGATATGAGGTTATTAGAAAGGGGAATGTGCCAGTACAAGATAGATACTACAGCTGTTTAGTGTTAAGTTGGTCAAAAGATGGACTTCATTTGTATCTTCAACATGTTACTAGGTTCTGAGATTGGCGAGGCTCGTTGACGATGCTTAGGAAAGGTCTGGAAATGTACCAAATCCTCGATCCGATGTTTGAAGAGTACTTCAGACAAGACATGCTCATCATGTTCGCCCTAAAAATACAACAGGAATATTCTAAGAATATACTTATTTTTTCCATTTTTGAGCGTTTCCTAGTGTTCTTATTCAGATGGGTTGTTTTAGTATCTTTGTTAACTACCCGAGGCTAAGAATATTTTATAGAACTGACGCACACTTCTTTCCTAACCTCAAATTTCCTTTTTAATATGGCGATTTTTCCACATTTATTTGATATCAAGTATTAACAATGAAAGTTGGCTATAACGTTTTCAAGTATATCGTAATCTAATCCCATGCGATAATTTTTTTCCTAATGCCTTTTTATGAGATGACATCTCTTGATCATTCATTTTGTTTCAATTTTATAATAACATCAAATCGATTTTAAATTCAAGGTCTATATTACTGAAAAGACCTTTATATTGTGATTTTCCTTAAGGCTAACTCCATGATGTCCGAGAAAGTGATTTAAGAATCATCAGTAATTGCTGTATGCAAGCTAAATACACCACATTATTCTCTTTCTGGTTTCTCGTATTCTCATACACTGGAATATTTTGGTGCTTTCTTCTGCTTGCTTTGGCTAAAATCATTTATTAAATTCTATATTTGTCTTTTATCATGCAGAAGGATGAAGTCGGCCATACTCAAACCGAAAGTCGTGTCCTCCAGCAGTGTCGGCATCCCTTTATGATTCAGCTTCGCTACGCTTTCACAACTCCAGATCACCTTTGTTTCGTAATGGAATACGTAAACGGCGGCGAACTATTTTTCCATCTCTCTCGCGAGCGCATCTTCTCAGAGGCACGAACTCGATTTTACGCAGCTGAGATTACTTCAGTGCTTGGTTATCTGCACACGAGAAATGTTGTATATAGGTAAAATCCTATCGACTTTGTGTACCTCATACACATGCATTCTTTTGTAATTGATGCACTGTTTCACACTTCAAAAATTGTGTCAGTCGAGTTGGCAGCTTCTCATTTTAGCCAATAAGGCTAGTTAGCGTTTTTAACCCACTATTAATCAGGCAAAGTTAACTTTTAATAATAGTGACCTTAATTGTGCTTCAAAAGTTGATGGGTCATTTGGAGATATTCGCACATCTGTTTACTATCCCTTTATTGATATGTCTATTCATTATAGGAGTCTAATCTGCTATTTCTCTAAAATATAGGACCAAAATGCCTCAAATAATTTTTTTTTTGAGAATACCAAACGAATAGTTGATCATAGATATGAAGGCTGAGATAGTGTGGCCTTCTGTTTGGTCACAATCTCGTTTAGCTTTATAGTGTTGGTTCGACTCCGTTTTTGCCACTTGCTCAAAGTGTCAAGGAGACTTTGATGTACAGTCCATGTACACTAACATATCAGGATAAAGAGCACTTACATCATTGCTGGAGATATTGAAATAATAAGATGACATCATGGAGTCAACGAAATGGAGTGCTCTGGAGTTTATAGCATAGACTGCAAGGACACACAGACACAAATATATCGGAGAGACGGGAAGGACAATCAGTACAAGAATCAAAGAACATCAGCGACTATGCAGAAGAATGGATACGGAAATATTGGAGATGGCTGAACATATAATTCTTAGGGGCTACACAATTGACTGGGGTGCAACGGAAAGACTGGCCTTATTGAAAGAATACCAGAAAACGGATGATCAGGGAGGTTGTGAATATCCTCTGTCAAAGAATCCTGATGAATAGAAGATTAGAAGAGGGAAGAGTCCGCGATAATTTCGCGTACTGTCTGGGCAGACTTGGAGATTCTGCGAAGACATCAAAGAGCAGATATTTGGGCCCAGGACATTGTTCGACAACATGAAGAGACATCGCCAAGGAGCGGCTTTTGAGGAACGAATGGAAATCAAGAAAAGGCGATTCAAGTGAGAGGAGTCAAACTAGGAAATTATAAAAAATTTGCCCAGGTGGCTCTACCTGTAAGATAAAGGATATGAAATTAACGGCTAAAAGTATGGGCTAGAGTTAGGTGGATAGTGTGTGTGGGAGCGCCCTTGTGTGCATTCTTTGTTTCTCTGCCTGAAGGGGAGGTGATTGTTGACTAGTCTGACCACAGGGGATATCAGCCAACAAACACATAAACATCGTAGTACTTTAGAATTAAGTGTGGTTGTCAACTTGATGGACAAGAAGAGTGTGTTTTTCGCGATTCGAGGGGGAAAAAGGCAAAACGTGCATTTTTATATTAACAGTTATGACTTAAGCCGGACACAGGGCCCCAAAGAATTAGACGCAATGTGGGTAGGGATGAAAAAGAGAATAACCGAGTCATGGGTTTAAAGCCTAAGGAGAGGAAGACCCCCAGACACTGGCATGGACAGTCATAATTTGTTCTAAATCCTCGAATATGGCGTAATTGAGAAATGGAAT